AATTTTTATATGATTCTATTTAGTTACTTTCTCATTCTTTTATTTAATAGCCATATTATTTTATTAATAATTAGTTTAAATTAATTATATTATTCAATTTAATATTACTATCTTTTATTTTTTCTATTTAACTATTAATTTTTAATTTATTAATTATAAATTTTATTATTTTTAATAAATTATGTTTATATATATTTTTATAATTTAATATTTATTTTTAATATATATTTATAAATAAATTTTTTTATAAAAAAAAAATTATAAAAAAAATTCTTATTTCCAAAAAATATATTGATTGTTAAAACAAATCACAAATTTTATCTAATTTTTTTTTTGAAAAAATGTAAATAAATTTTTTAATAATTAAATAATTTCCATATAAAAAATAAAAATTTGTTTTTAAAAATAGATATTTAACAATAAAAATTACATGATTTATTAAAAAAATATTCGTTCATTTTTTATTTTAAGAGTAACAATTATTTTTTATTAAAAGAAAAAACAGAATAATAAGTTATTATAAATAATTCGAAAATTATATAAAGATTATATTTTCAATGTTTTGTTATTTTCTAGAAAAGATTTAAGTTTAAATGATTCGTTTTTATTTTCTTAATGGTAACTGAAGCAAATTTATTATATAAATTACTTTTAGCATATATATATATATATATATATATATATATATATATATATATATATATATATATATATATTATTTTTCTTAATTCGAGTTCTTTGAATTTTCTTGCTTTTTTATACTATGATGAAATCATTATATTTATTAAAAAAATTATTAATATTTAAAATAAAATAATAATTATTGTCAAAAAATGCTTATTAGAGAAAAAATTAATTATTAAAATTCAAAAATTTAAATTATTTAATTTTAAGAAATATTATATTAAAAAAAAATGATTTATCATCTCTACTTTTTAAATATATTTAATTCTTTAATGAATTTTATTTTTTAAAGTTTATTATTAAACTCTTGATTTTTTATTATCGAAATTTTAAGGACCTAAGTTTTGGATTTTTTCTAATGTTTTTTTTAAATTTTCTTTACATTATAAAAAGTTTTTTTTATTAATTCTTCTACATTTTGAAAAATATTCACATACTGATAGCTTAATCCAATATATTTATTGATATTATATGTATGATTAACTTAAATATATTGTATGTTCATAATTTATTCAATTATTGTATTTTGCATTATTATACTATTTATTTAGGTTATTAGACTTATTTTACATTTCTTTTAATTTTTATTTTCATATAATTTTAATTTTTCAGAATAGTATTTGAATACATTTTATTCGTACAATTTTTTTCTTTTCTCTAAATTCTTTACTTTTATTTATGATTTTTCATATACACATAATTAATCATATTTTTTATTGTATTTTTATATATTTATATAAAGATATAAATAAATTATTTTTAATAATAAACTCTTTAAATAGTATAAATATAATATAATTATAAGAATATGATTTTTTTGTTTTAAAAAAAATATAATAATTCTTAGTAAATTTAATAAAAATAAATTAATACATAATATTAAATAAAATTTATTACATATGTATATAATAAATAAAAAAAAATTTAATATAAATTAATAGTTTTAATTTATTTAAATATTTAAATAATTTTTAAAAAATATTTATTTTAAAATGTAAATAACAATCAAAATAATAAAATATATTAATCATTTTATAATCTCAATATATATTTAATTTTTACTTATTTTTTTTTTTTAAAAAAATATAATGATTTAATAGCTTCATTTAATAAACTCTATACTAAAGCCATATAACTCTTAATAATTATAATCAAATGATTTTATAAAAAAATAAAATTCAAACAAAAAGCCTGATTCTCCAATAAAGTATTAGGAGAATCTAGTATTGTAAAAACAAACATTTTATAATAGCTTTTAATAAATACATGATTAAACTATAGATCTGTTAAACAATATAAAATATAAAGAAATGAATATAGAAAACATAGAACAAATATTGACAAATATTAAAGAGGTTGAAGATTAATTTTATAAAATACATAACCTTTTACAAAAACAATATAATATATTGAAATAACAATAAGAACACAAAGTATTTGAAAACAATAATTAATAAAAAAGTTATTTAAAAATAGAGAAACCAAATAAGGACACTTTATATTAAGAATCTGAGTGTAATTATTCACTAAAAGATAATTTTGAGAAAAATATTGATTTTTAAAAATAAGATTTCAATAGATTCTCTTGCGATTTATTTGGAAATAATTTAAATTAATAAAACTTACTACAAAAAATTATTGATGAAGTGAAAAATACTCAATTATAATCTGAAGATAACAAAGGATTTTTAGAAAATATTGAAAATAAAAATAACTTTCAAGTTAAAAGTATTTCTGAACTTAGTTCTGATTTAAACAAATATCTATTTGTAGAAGATAAGTTTTCATAAAAGCTCTCGGTTTTATAAGAAAACTACTAAAAAGAGGAGAGTAATAATTTAATTATTGATATTTCTAATACATTAGAAAATTCGAATAATATAGTTTATGCAACTGATTTATTTATTTAAAGATTTAATAGTACTTCTACATTAAGAAAAGATAATACTTCTTCTTCAAATCTAAATGAATAATTTGATAATTCTGTTAACTTTTTGTAAAGTTTTACTCCTGTTTATTAAAACCATAATTATAGTTTGAGTGTAGGATAGTATAAATAAAGTAAAATAGAAAATGGAGATTTTAATAATATACCATATACAGAAAAATAAATATAAAAAAATTTTGTAAAGAAAGATAATTTTGTTTCTATTTTTAATAATAATATTCATGAAACTATTAATAATTTTCAGAACTTTTCTATCAAATAATTTAAAATTCTAAATAAATTAGGAAGTGGAAAATTCTCTGATGTTTATTCGGCTATGTAAATATTTTTTTATATATATACATTTGTTTATAAATTAAATAAAATTAATAGAAATATTGAAACAGGATTTAGTGTAGCCTTAAAATAGATTAAAAAAACTATGATTTAAGAATACAAATTAGAGAAAGATATTGTAAATGAAATTAAGTCTTAAATTAAACTAGAACATCCCAATATTATAAGGCTATATGGTTATTTTTTTGAAGAAGATAGTATTTATTTAATTTAAGAATTAGCTTGTGGAAAAGAGTTATTTGCAGATTTAAAAGCTCAACCAAATAAAAGATATAGAGAAATAAGTGTTGCCTAATATATAAAATAAATTATAGAGGCTTTAATTTATATGCATTCTTAAAATATTATACATAGAGATATAAAGCCGGAAAACATTATGATATATAATGTAAAAAAAATCTATATTTTTGTATATATAAAAATAATAATAAAGGGGATTTTGAAATTATGTGATTTTGGATATGCAAGTTATGTTACTCCAACAAATTTAAGATCAACATTTTGCGGAACTTTAGATTATGTAAGTCCTGAAATGGTTCAAGGTTAAAACTATGATTAATCTGTTGATATTTGGAGTGTTGGAATTTTAACTTATGAACTTATTTTTGGATAAGCTCCTTTTACTGTAAAAGATCATGAAAGTACTTTGACCAAAATTTAAAATGTAAATTTTTTATTTTATATAAAAAAAAAAATATCTAATTTTTTTTTTTTTTTTTCAAAGGATGAAATTGGTTTCCCAGGTTTAATTTCTTTTGAAGGAGTTGATTTTATTTAAAAACTTTTAGTTAAGGATCCTTTTAAAAGAATGACTCTATGTTAAGCTTTAAAACATAATTTTATAATAAGTAATAATTCCAATAAAAACTATTAAAATTTAAAAAATGAATTGGAATTCTCAGACTTTTTAGTAATGTGAAAATTATTATAAAAAATCAATAGAAAGTCATATTCAAAAAAATAAAATATAAAATTTAATTAATGAATATATTTCTTATTTATAAAAAATTATATATTTATATTCATAATTTAAAAAATTCTTGTCATATATACATAATAATCTTAGATATAGAAAAAAATAAAAAATTATAATTATTAATAAATAAAACATTTATTTTTTCAATTCTTCCAAATTTTAAGTAATCTATCTTTTCCACCTGAGCAAACCTTTTAGCCATCAGGACTCCAATCTATAGCATATACTTCATCTGCATGTCCTGGAAGATCGAACATTAACTTTTTGGTTTTAATATCCCAAACTTTCATAGTAGAATCTTTAGATCCACTTACAAAAAGTCTGCTATCAGCAGCCCAAGCAATCTAATATACACTATTAACATGTCCTCTAAAATGTGCAATAAAGGCTCCTGTGTATCCGTCCCATAATTTAAGACTCTTATCAAAAGAAGCAGAAATAACAAATCTTCCATCAGGAGAAAACTGAGAATGGTTAACAGGTTTTGTGTGCCCAGTCATTCTAAAAACAGGCTTACTACTTGCTATAGGATCCCAAAGGAAAAGAGTATTATCATCACTACCTGAGATAAGCCTTTCATTTTTATTTCCCTTTAATTTATTATATTTTTCTAATGCTTTATTCTGTTATTCTTATTCACTTTATAAAATTTCTCCTTTTTCATCAAAATAACCAGTTCTTAATGCATTTTCAGTATGAACACATATTGTATTTACCCAATGGGCATGTCCTTTTAAATCTCTTTTATAACTTCCGTCAGTTTACCAAACCTATTTTAAAAAACTAAATATTTTTTATTTAATTTTTATTTATCTACTTTTATTGTTGTATCTTCACTAGAAGTATAAATAAGGTCCTAACCTCCCCAGATAACCTTAGTAATAGCTTTAGTATGACCTCCGAAGCAAATAATACAGGAAAATGTTAAAGCATCCCAAATTCTAATACTCATATCTTTAGAACAGCTTACTAGTCTTGAACATTTTGCGTTTTTATGTAAAGGTTCCCATGATAAGGAAGTTACCCATTTCTAATGTCCTTTTAAAGTAAGGCCCATTTAAGTCCCACTTTCCCCATCCCATATACATATGTCGCCATTTAAATCTCCTGTTGCTAAAAGTTTACCATTAGGGCTCCATTACATTACTAACACCCAATTTCTATGACCTTGTTTTTTCTATTCTTCTTGTTATTCCAATGTGTTTTTTGGCAATTCGGTATTTACATCCCAAAATCGAACTGTTGTATCTCCTGATCCACTTGCTAAATTTTACCCATCTGGAGAAAACTATATACATAACACACTATCAGTGTGGCCTGGAAGAGAACTGGCTTAGCGCGTAATTGGACGGACATAGAATAATGATTATGGGTGAAATGTTATTGGAAGTATGGTTTCTGTTGTATAATTTTTTAACTTCTTCAAAAATTCAGATAAAGATGTTTTTATTTCTTAGGTTTCGTAATAAAATGAATATAGTTATGGCTCGTCATTTTCTAAAAATGAATTCACTATTTATTCCAGTTCCGAAGTTTTAGTTAAAATGGGAAGATCTAGTTTGTCACCAATTTCCTCACCTTCAGGATTCTTTAACTTTATAAATATGCGCTTATCTAATTCGTTTTCAGGAGGTTGTTCAGACACTTCGTTTTTTTTTAATTTCTTTTGAGGCTTCATGTTTTTTTTATTTTATATTTTAAGTTTTTTTAGTTTTTAATTTATATTTTTAGTTGTATATAAATAAAATATATTTATGTAAAAAAATATTAAATTTAGATTATTATTTTTTTAATGTTATTTTGATTTTATAATTTTTAAATTTAATATATTTTATAATCTTTTTTATATTTATTAATAGATTATTTCTAATATTAATTTTATTTAAAAAATAACTAAATAAAATGAATAGTACTTATTATTTTGAAAAAACTTTTAATAAATTTATAATAAGATATTAAAAAAAGTTTGATTAAAATTTATTATTAAGATATGAATATACTTTAAATTCTCTTAAATAAATTAGAGATTATATTTGTTTTAAAGATTAAAATAAGGTTCGTTTTAGAATAATAAAATAAAATATTTATTTTTTTAATATTAAATAATTTGAATCATGTTAACCATTTGTTTACAAAAAATTAAAATAAAATTAATAAAAATAATTTTTTATATAATTTTAAAATGCTTCATTATTTATATTGGTTAACTTAAACATTTTATTTAAAAATATTAAAATGTAACTTACTCAAAGTAATAAAATAATTTTTTTATAGTTTATTTATATTTAATATTTTTTAATTTTTTTAGAAAGGTTTATAGGTATAAACATTTTTTTTAAAACAGATTAATATTTTATACATATATTATATAAAAAATTACAATATTAAAAGTAATATATATTTTAATGTTTTATTTATTTTTAAAGTATTAAGCTTTTACAAAAATTCTATCGACAAACAAATATAGAAATGCTTAGCTACTTTAGATTTTTTTTTAAAAAAAAAAACAATAAAGTTAGCTTAAATGGATTCATTCATTTTAGATAAAACTGCAATTTAATAAATAAATATAAATACTATTAAAAAAATTTTCAGAAGAAAAAAATAAAATTGATAAATAAATTTAGATTTTCATAAAGCAATAAGCATTTGTTATAATTGTTAGAAAAAGAAAAATATACAATATAATTATTAGTAGATTAGCTTTTATGTGAATTATTTAGAAATATTTTTTTATTTTTATTTATTTCAAATATTATTTGTAATTATGTTTTTTTTATATTTTTTCTATAATTTTTTTTAAATATGCGATAAAAATAATGAGTAAAAAACGGATAATTTTTATTATTTAGATTTTAAAAAAAATACTGAAAAATTAAAAATCTATAAAAAATTAATATATATTAAATGTTCATAATTATTAAATTTAAAATATTACATTTTTTTTTATTTAAAATAAAGTGAGATTAACTAAATTTCATAACAATTTTTTTTTTTTCATTTGTTTTTATCATGTTTTCATTGTAAGCTTTAAATGAAATAGAAGTATATAATATATAAATATTACAAAATTCATAATTATTTTAAAAAGAGTTTATATAAAATGAATTAGAAAAAATTATTTAATATTATTTCAAATAGTTATTATGTGATAAAATTGAGGCCTTTAATAAGAATTAATAAAAATGATATATCTTTTTTTTATAAAAATAAATAAAATAATATTAATTTGGATAAAAAAATTAAATTTTATTTTATAGCCTTTACAAATATTTTAAAATATGTAAATAATTTAAATATTAATCAAGTTTTATATAACAGGTAATGTAATTTATATATTAGTCAAGCTTTATATAATATGATATATTTAATTAAAAAAGATTAAAATATTTGAATTTATTATGTTATTAATGAATTTGCAATTTTATTATTAAAATAGTAATTTTAATTAATTAATAGTTTAATAAAATATTGAAAGATTAAAATAATTTTTTTTTATTTAAAATTTTTAAAAAATTAATCATAATATTTTATTCAATTTTTTTTTTTTTTCGAATTAACTTACTCTATATTTTATAATAAATTATCAAGAGGATGTTTATTAAAGCAATTTTTTTATTTAATATATAAAAAAAACCATAAAACACAATAAACTTAAAATATTAGAATGCACAAGCTTTTATATAAAACAACAAGACTGAGATTATCAAACTATAAATTTAAAAAAAATTGTGAACTAAGATGTTTATTAGAAGTAAGAAAAAAATCAATTTAATTTAAAAGAAGATAGATTATAATAAATTGAGTACTTTTATAGAAAAAAAAGAAAAGAGAAAATTAATTATTGTATAAAAAAATGTTAAACTTAGTGTAACAAAAACATATTTGGAAATTAAAGTTTTAGGTTAAAATAATAATTATTAGATTATTTAAATCGCTTTCTTTTATATTAAGGAAAAATAATTATTAGAATTCTATTAGAAACAATTATCAAGCTGTATAAATAAAATAAATATATGAAATTACGTTGACGACTATAAAACATAGTATTAAGATTAATATTCATCTTTCTTTTTTCATAAAAATTGTACTATTAATGTATTTTACACAATAATAATTATTTAGAAATTTTAAAAGAAAAAATTAATTTTAAGTTTTAAAAAGATAAAGTATTAACGCAGTGTTTTTAAATTTAATTAAAGTTTTTGTTTGCTTGTTTTTAATGTTACAAATTAAAATTTTCATATATTGATTTTTTAGTTAAATATATAATTAATTTTTTTAGTAATAAATTATAAATAATATAGACATAAGTTGTTAAAAATATAACAAAGTTTATTATTATTATTTTATTTTTCTATAAAATTAATAATTAAATAGATTATGTAAATTTACTAATAATATCCTTTTTAATTTAAAAATAATTATAATAATTTGTATAGATATCATGAACATAATTAATTGTCTTTATAATATAAAACATGTTTATAATAATTTAAAAACATGATTTAATAAATAGTAAAATTTTATTAAAATATTTTAATATCCTTTTAATGATTAAATTATATGAAGAAAAACTGAAACAAAATATTTAATAACTTTCTAAAGATTAAAAAATCTTAAATTAAAAAGAAAATATAATACAATATAAAAGCATTAAATTAGATAAAAAACATTGAAAAATTAATTATCTTAAATATAATTTATAATTTATAGTAATAATTGAAAATAAATATAATAAATTTGATCATTTATTTTTTAAATATCCATGTTTTTATTTATTAAGTTTAATCAACGATTTGTAATTAAAGAATAACCAATTTTTTATATATATGATTTAATCATTTGTATCTAGTATTTTATTTTAAAGTAAATAAACAAATATTTTGCTGAAGTTAAATAAAATATTTATATGATAATATAAAAAAGTATTACTAATAAAGAAATGTGATTATCAAAGATATGAAATAATTTTAAAAATAACTATGATTACATTTTACTAACTTTATATAAAACAAAATACAAAATTAAAAAATTCATTATTTATTTTGAAGATTTTTGTAAGAATTATTAAGATAATCTTAAATGAGCAAAGACTATTTAAATTAAAAAAATAAGAAAAAATAAATAAAAAAATACTATAATAATATGTGGAGCAGTTCTAGAAGCAAACATAGGAAAACCAATCCATAAGTTCCTAATTCCTTCTCTTCTAGCAGTCTTTTGTATTTTTAGTATTTAACAAAAATTAAAAATTTTACAATACTAAAACAATCAGTAAAACCTTTATATTAATAATTTCCTTAAGCATCAACTTATTACCTTTAAAGTTTCGTTTTGATATTATCAAAAGGTAAAGACATGATAGATGCTATAATTCCTGCAATTGTAGATGAACTAAATTATATAAATAAATTATTTTAAATGTAACAATAAATAACAAAAACATAATTTTTATTTGAATGGTATCGTGTACTTAATTATATTAATTTAATCTTTCTTTTACTTCATCAAATGTAGACAACATTCCTAAATTTAAAACAACAGATCTTATGACAGTAGGAGTACATCCTTTCCATAATCCAAGCAATCCTTCGTCTTTAACAATTCTTTTTAAGGCATCGAAAACGTTCTTATAAATTTCTCCTTTATTAAATAGGTAGCAACGTATCTCCTTGAAAGCGTACTAATGCTAAATCTGCAGGATTACCAATTAAAGCACCTGAAAATCCTGCAATTAATGAACAATAAATTTTTCTATATATCTTAAATTTTCTATTTTAATTTATTTTTTATATAAATTTTATTTTTAACTTCCTTATTTGTTTTTTTATTCTATCTGATAAACTTTGAAAAAGACCCAATCTTATTGATGTATATAAAACTTATCTCAATAAAGCTGAATCGAGACTATTTTTTTTTTTACTATTTTTTTAACAAAATATTAAAATACCCTTTGTAAAAACCATGTATTCCTTCTTTTTTATAATATTTAATGCTATATCTTTTGCTTTTAATGAGTCTTTGCTTAATCCTGCAGATATTTCTTCCGAAATTATCTGAATTCTCACTTTTACTGTATCTATTGGTTAAAGTATAGTTGTTGCAATACAACCTGAAAGGCCACCAATAATAAATGGCATTGAAAAACTTAACATTTTTATTTTAATTTATTTTGATTCCGAATAAATTTACAAAAATACGACTATTTAATTAATTTTTGATAATTATTATTTTTTTAATAAATTTGTAAATAAAAAAAAATAATTTTAACTTTGGACGGACAAAATTATTTAATAATGAATAAATGTATTCTATAATAAAAATATAATTTAATAATTTATAACACTAAGTTTTTTTTTTAAAAAAAAAAAATCTTTTTTATAGATTAAATTTTAAATATTAATAATATGTAATATGTCTTAACCAAAATAATATATTAAAAAAGCAATTAATATCTAGTTAATCAAAATATTTTTAATAAATACTAAAATATTTATAATAATCTTAAAAAAAGATTATAAAGAACCATATTTAAAAAGCCTTTAACTTACCAAATTTGTTCAATAACTAAAAACTAAACTACTTTATTTTGTCTTAATACTTTAGAAAACATTCTAAGACCCTTATTAATAATAAAAGCCATTAATATTTAGAAAAAACGACTATAATAAAATATACATAGAATACTTAAACATAAGTACAAATCATCCTGAAGCTCTCATATACAAGAACTTAAATTATAGACGGGATAATGAAATGAGTAATGAACCAAAGTTATTTGTTAAAATTAAATATGAACCAGGTCTAATTACTTATTTAAAATGTATTCAAAACACATAATGCTGAAGCAGGTCATATATTGCTAAATAAATAGCTTTTGCCTCATTGTGAAAATAATTTAACTTCATATAATATCTATTGTTATGTAAAATATGCTTGTGCTTTAATAAATTATAATTATTAATTCTATTTTATAAAAAAAGAAATATGCACATATAAAAAATTAATGTGGAATTCCTAAATGAAGAGTAAATTTGGAGGAATAAACAAATTAGTAAGGAAAATGGAATTATTTAAAAAACTATAGATTTCATTTTTATAAGAGAAAATTAATAAAGTATATTTGGATTTCATGATATTTACTTTGCTTTTGTTGATTTATTTATATTAAATATTGTGAAATAAAAAATTGATAAATTAGAAAAAAATTATTCAAAAGGAAAATTTTGATGTTGGCATGCTTCTTTAAATATATATTATCGCTCAAAGGAATCATTAATAAATAAATGCTTAAGGATATATATATATATATATATATATATATATATATATATATATATATATATATATAAGAAGATATATTTATATATATATATGAATAATGTTTTATTTTATTAATCTTTTATAAATTTTTTTTTAATGCTAGTAAAAACTTTCTATTTTTTAATATATTTTAGAATATATATAATTTTTATTATTGTAAAATATATCTTATTTTATAAATTTAATATTTAAAAAAAAAGAATTATTTATATTATATTCCATATTTTTTATAAAAATATTATTATTATTATTATTATTATTATTATTATTATTATTATTATTATTATTATTATTATTACTATTAATATTATTAATATTTTTATTCTAAATATTTTTTAATCTATTTATTTTATTATAAATACTAATAAAATTTTTTATAAAATCAATTAATATAAATCAAATTTTATTGAATTTGTTTATTTAATTTATTTTATTTTTATTTATTCTTTATTTGTTTTTTATTTTGTTAGCTATTTATATAAAATTTTCAATTTTTAAATTATCAATTTATTTTTTAATTATTTTATATGATATTTTATAAAAAAAATAGTTTATTTCATAAACTACAACCAGTGCATAAATAAAAAATTATTATATTCGCAAATATTTTTATTTACTTAACTATATATTTATTATATATTTAATCATTTTTATCAAAAAATATCTATTAATTATAAAATAAATACTGTAATAAATAAATTATTTCAAAAAAAATTATTATTATAATTTTTCAAATAATTATAAAATTAAACAAATGTATATATGCATATTTTATATATTTTTTTATATTTAATATATTATATGCCATTCTTTAAATAAAATCGAAACATAAACATAATAATAAAAAAGTCCGTTTGCATTTTATAATCATTAAAATTCATATTTAGAAGAATTTCTAAAGTAAAAAATAAAAAAATAGATAATAAAATAAAAATAAACTTACATAAACTTTATCTTCACTAGTTCCTTAATTTCCATTATTTTCTTTTTTCTTTTCTTTAGCAAGAGTATTCCAATCAAAGTTATAATCTCTTTCAAATCCTTCTTTAGCAAACCGATCTTTAAATAATTATTAACAATAATTATAATCAGGTTTTTCATCAAATCTTAGATTCCTACTATAAACTAAAAAATCAACGAATTCTGAAGGAAATCCTTTACACAATACTTCTATTGGTGTTGATAATTTTTTTTCCATAATTCTTTCATATTTATCTTTTTTATTATTTGCTTTTAAATTTTACCAAGGCAATTATCCTCTTTTTTTTTATTTTATGTTATTTTTTTAATTATTTATTTGTATAGTATTTTAAAAATAATTATACCTCAAAAAATACATCAGTATATATCCTATAGCTTCTAAATCATCTCTTCTTCCTTATTCTATTCCTAAATGAGTGTTAATACTTGCATATCTTGCTGTTCCGGTTAAATTTTTATTATCTCTATAGGGAATATGTGTTCCATCTTTTTATTAATATCTTTTAGCCAAACCAAAATCAATAATAAAAATTTTATTTTATCTTTTTCCTGTTCCAATTACAAAATTATCTGGTTTTATGTCTCTATGAAGGAAATATCTGGAATGAATATATTCTACTCTTTATAATGTTTATTCTGCAATCATAAGAACCGATTTTAACCCAAATTTCCTTCCACAAAAATTAAATAGATCTTCTAATGATGGACCTAATAAATCCATAACCATAATATTATATTCTCCTTCTGTAGAACAATAATAAACCTTTTATTTAAATTATTTAATGTAAAAAGATATTAAAAATACTTATATATTTATTTTACTTAAGGAATGCCTTTGTCTATTACTGTTTCATCTTGTAATAAGTATTAGTAAAGTTTTACTTCATAAAATAATTAAGGATGTTTTGTATTTACAGGTTCTAATTTTATTGCTACTTCAACGTTATTTTTTAAATTTATGCCATGAAATATTTAACCAAAAGCTCCTTCTCCTAATTTTCGTGTTAATTTAAATGATTTGCCAACTTTAATATCCATACTCATAATTTTTTTTTTGGTTATTTAATTATATTTTTTATAGTTATTTAAGTTTTTTTTTACTTTTTTACTTTTATTCTCTTTTTCTTTGTTTTTTATTATTAATTTTTTTTTTTTTTTTTTACAATTATAATTTATATAATAATCATATATAAATAAATATACGATACTAATTTTTTTTTTTTATGTTTTTAACCTAATTTTATTTTTATATATATAATTATTCTTATAATATGCTTTTATTAGCCGATTTTTCGTTTTATAGGGAAAATAAAAGTTATTTTTTTATAAAAAAAGTAAATTTTTAAATATTCAAATAAAAACATATATAATTAAAATATAAAAGATAACAAAAATAAAAATAAAAAAATACAAAAAAATAAATAATATAAAATATAAATTTTTATATAAATAAAATATTAAAACAGATTCAAAAAATAAATATTAATTTTTATATTGTATTATGTATTTTTATTAATTTTAAATTCTTATTGTTATTTTTATTTACAATATACCTTTATATTATTAATTTTTTTCGATTTTTT